ACCCATTGGACCCTTATTGAATGAAGTGTTCATTTTGCCTTTATTTTCTTCAAAATTTACTTGTGTTGAATTATTTAACATAGTCAGTGTGGTTTTGTTATCGGACGAGGTACTCGACGAACTTCATAAGGTATTCGACCGACCTCTTACGGTAAAAAAATACTCGGGTACAAGGAGTGCATAAAATATGTAATTTGTAATAGCACGACATTCGGCCTCGACAAGATGGTGCTTGGATGATGAGAGAGATTAACGCAATGCTCGACCTAATTCCTGGCCGAGGAGGGTACTCAGAAGGGAAACCTGTTGGAGTGCTCGACCCAGGAGAATCCTTAGCCGAGAAGGGTACTCGGGAGGGAAATCTGTTAGGCTCGAGTTCACGATTGAGGAGAGTGATCGGTGTGCGTCCTCGGCAACGGAGTGCTCGGCCGAGCATAGTGATTGGTCCAGGTGCATCCTTAGCTGAGGAGGGTACTCGGGAGGGAAACCTGTTAGGATCGAGTTCACGATTGAGGAGAGTGATCGGCGTGCATCCTCGGCAACAGAGTGCTCGGCCAAGAATAGTGATTGGTTCAGGTGCATCCTTAGCCAAAAAGGGTACTCGGGAGGAAAACCTATTGGAGTGCTCGGCCCAGGTGCATCCTTAGCCGAGGAGGGTACTCGGGAGGGAAACCTGTTAGGCTCAAGTTCACGATTGAGGAGAGTGATCGGCGTGCGTCCTCGACAACGGAGTGCTCGTTTGAGAATAATGATTGGTCCTGGTGCATCCTTAGCCGAGGAGGGTACTCGAGAGGGAAACCTGTTGGAGTGCTCGACCGAGGTGCATCCTTAACCGAGGAGGGTACTCGAGAAGGAAACCTGTTAGGCTCGAGTTCACAACTGAGGAGAGTGATTGACATGCGTCCTCGGCAACGGAGTGCTCGGCCGAGAATAGTGATTGGTCCAGGTGCATGGTTAGCCGAGGAGGGTACTCGGGAGGGAAACCTGTTAGGCTCGAGTTCACGATTGAGGAGAGTGATCGACGTGCGTCCTCGAGAACGAAGTGCTCGGTTGAGAATAGTGATTGGTCCAGGTGCATCCTTAGTCGAGGAGGGTACTCGGGAGGGAACCTATTGGAGTTCTTGGCTCAGGTGCATCCTTAGCCGAGGAGGGTACTCGGGAGGGAAACCTGTCGCGCGAGTACGTTTTCGAGTGGTTTGCCGAGGATAGCTCGGTGCTGACGCGTTCGTGCGTAGTACTCAGCCCAGGTGCGTCCTTAGCCGAGGAGGGTACTCGGGAGGGAAACTTATAGGTTCGAGTTCACGACTAAGGAGAGTGACCGGCGTGCGTCCTAAGCTAGAGTGCTCGGCCAAGAATAGTGCTCGGTGTAGGTGCATGCTTAGTCCGAGATTGGACCTGCGTGAGCGCGACATATATATATATAAGTGGTCGGCCGGGGATTGCTCGGTACCTCTGCGTTCGTGCGTTCCGAAGGAGGACCTGCATGAGGATGATTTGAACGTGTTCATATATGCAAATAGTAAAAAAGACGATCATTTCAAAAATGTGTTGTATTAATGGAGTGCCTCGTTAAAAACCTTGCCGACCCAAAACCCTCCTTAGGGAAAAAAAAGTCGGTTAAGGAAAAGAGTGCACTGTTACATCAACTGTAATACACTTTTAGATGTGAGGAGTTCCAAGTTCTCGGAACTGGCTCCCCTGACAAGTACTCAAGCTTGTATGCCAAACTGTAATACATCTTTAAGTGAGTAGAGTTCCAAGTTCTAGGAATGGGCTCTCCTGATAGGTGTTCTAGCTTGTACGCTCCGTTATGGAAGTTGTGCCGTATGCGAAAGGGTCCGTCCTAATTTGGGGCGAGCTTTCCATGTCTCGGGTCTTTCCTTGCTTCGCGTGTTACTCTCCAAACGAGATTGCCTTCCTAAAATTCTCTTGGCCTCACCTTGGTATCGAATTTCCTCTTGTAGCACTGTTTGCATGCTTCGGCTATGACGAGGGCACGGTCTCGAGTCTCTTCCATGACGTCCAGGTTTGCATGAAGTTTGTTCTCATTGTTGTGCTCTACAAAGTGGGCTTGGTGGAAGGATGGTTTGCCAATTTCCACCAGGAGCATCACATCAGATCCGTACACTAGGCGAAAAGGGGTCTCTTGTGTAATCGATTGAGGTGTGCATCTGTAGTCCCAGAGCACTTTGGGTAGTTGTTCAGCCCAGGTGCCTTTTGCCTCTCCAAGCCGCTTCTTCAACTCGGTTAAGATCACCTTGTTGGCAGACTCGACTTGATCGTTTGTTTGCGGGTGCTCGACTGAAGTGACCTTGTGTTGTATTCCTAGGCCGGATAAGAACTCATTCAACTTTCGATCAGTGAATTGGAGGCCATTGTCGGTCACCATAGTTGATGGGATGCCAAATCGAGTGATGATATTCTTCCAGGGAAATTATTGAAATTGATGGGCCAAAATGTTCGCCAGGGGCTCGGCTTCGATCCATTTAGTGAATAAATCCACGGCCACGATGAGAAACTTACATTGGCCTTTGGCCACCGGGAAAGGTCCGAGTATATTTGCCCCCCAGGTGGCGAAAGGCCATGCTGGGGGAATGCAATGCACCTGCTCGGCAGGTTGATGTATCAGGTTGCCGTATTTTTGACACTTTTGACATTTCTTCACAAATGATACGCAATCATTATTCATCGTCGACCAATAGTATCCAGCGTGGAGGAGTTTAGAAATGGTTGCTCGACCCCTGGAATGCATTCCGCAAATCCCCTCGTGAACTTCACGTATCACGTAATTGGCCTGTGTGGGGTCCAGACATTTGAAGAGTGGGGTGAGAACCCACGTCGATACAATTGATTGGCGATAACAACATATCTTCTAGATTGGGTCCTCAATCGTTTTGCCTCTATTGGGTCGTCTGGTGTGGTGCCCTGTGTAAGAAATGATTTAATTTTGGATCGCCAGTCGGGGAAATCAGTCAGACTGGTCAGATCGGCATCCACGCTTCCGACTATTTCAACTTCGACGCTGGGTTGTTCGATCTCTTGCTGGATGATGGTTCGTAGTTGGCCAGGCTTCTTGCTCGCAGCCAATCTAGCCAGTTGATCGGCTTGGGCATTATCCTCGCATGGGATGTGTGCGACCGATACGTCTTGGAAGCTCGCTTTCATCTTTTGGTAGGCGTGATAATATTTCATCATGTTGTGATCCTTAACTTGAAAGGTGTCGCCGACTTGTTCGGCCACAACTTTGGAGTCGGTCAACCATTTGACTTTTGTAGCTCCCATCTCCTCCGCCAGTCTTAGTCCCACCAAAAGGGCTTCATATTCAGCTTGATTGTTCAAAGCCCTAAACCTGAACCGTAAGGATTGTTCCAAAATTACACCTCTCGATCCTTCTAAGATTACTCCCGCTCCGCTCCCTTGAAAATTCGAGGAACCGTCTACATGAAGAGTCCACCAGTGTTCACCGAACGTGCCATAGGGATGAAGCTCATTCACAAAGTCTGCGAGGTATTGGGCTTTGATCGGCCCCCTCGGCATAAAGGTGATATAAAAAATTGAGACAACTCAACTGACCAGGCCATCATTCTTTCGGCCAGTTTGGGCTTACCCAAAACTTTGGAAATTGGAAAATCTATGTGCACCATGACCTTGTAACTTTGGAAATAATGTCTGAGGCGTTGAGACGTATGTACTAGGCTGAGCGCAACCTTTTCTATTAGTTGGTAGCGGGTCTCGGGGTCTTGTAATAGTCGGTTGACAAAGTAGATGGGCATTTGACTGCCTTCTCTCTCTTGAACCAAGACTGAACTGATTGCCTCCTCGGAGACTGCTAAGTACAATTCTAGCGGGTACAAGGGCTCAGGTCTCGTCAGGATCGGTGGTGACGCCAAGGTCTTCTTCACCATTGCAAATGCTGCTTCGCATGATTTGTTCCATAAAAAGGTGGAACTTTTTCGCAAAAGCTTCATCATGGGGCTGATTTTGTCGACCAATTAGGGGAGGAATCGGGATAAGGCGACTTGCCTTCCTAACAAGCGTTGTAACTCTTTGAGGTTGCTCAGACTCCTCATGTCTAAGAAAGCCTTGCATTTGTCTTGATTAGCCTCGATTCCTCTAGTTGATAGCATGAACCCTATAAATTTTCCTCGTTTAACCCCGAAAGTGCACTTCTCGGGGTTGAGCCTCATGTTATGCTTGCGCAACTCACTAAAAATTTCACCCAAGTCGACAATGTGCTTGGCTACCGAGTTGGACTTGACCACCATGTCATCCACGTAGATTTCAATGTTTCTTCCTATTTGCCTCTGAAATACCTTATCCATTAACCTCTAGTAGGTCGCCCCGACGTTTTTAAGCCCAAACGACATGACCTTATAGCAAAAGTTGGCGGTCTCGGTGATGAACATCATTTTCTCTTCGTCATACGGGTGCATTTTAATTTGATTGTAGCTGGAGTACGCATCTAGGAAGCTGAAGATCGAGTGTACAGACGCGCCATCGACTAGGCATTCAATGCAAGGGAGTGGATAGGTGTCCTTGGGGCAAGCTTTATTGAGGTCGGTGTAATCGGTACACATCCTCCACTTCCCATTTTCCTTTTTAACCAAAACTACGTTAGCCAGCCATGTGGTGTAGGTGACCTCTCTTATGAAGTTGGCTTGTAACAGCTTTTGCACCTCGACATTCGTCACTTTTCCCTTTTCATCGTCCTTTTTTCTTTTCTTTTGAGCGACCGGTCGTGCATCTCGACATACAGCAAGTCGATGACAAAGAAACTTAGGGTCTATTCTGGGCATGTCCGACGCCGTCCATGCAAACAGGTCTTTGTTATCACGAACAACACATTTCACCCGGTTCATTTCGGCTTCGCTTAGTCGGGATCCCATGTCTGTAACCTGTTCGGGTGCTCGTTTGAGCTGGAAGGGAATGAAGTCCTCCGCCGGCTCGACTCTCTCCTTTTCACTGACCCAAGGATAGAGGTCGACATCATCCATCATCTCTTACCTTACTACATTGACACCTTTTATTGCAGGGAGGTCGGCAATGGGCCGCATCTTCAGACTATAAAAGTAGCATTCCCTAGCTGTCTTTTGGTCGGCGTGGACGGTTATCACTTGTCCATCCCTTGACGGGAACTTTACGCATAAGTGAGGGGTCGAAACAATGGCTCCAAGGGCATTAATGGAGGGTTGCCCTAGCAGGATGTTGTAGGAAGTGCTGGCGTGAACCACAATGTAACAGATTTTGACTTCTCGAAAAGTCTTTTGATCAAAGCTAAAACGAGTGTATAAGTCAATGCATCCTCTCGTCATTACTCTTTCTCCCGAAAACCCTACCAGGGGTTCATGGTACGATTCTAGGCTTTCCTCCAGAATTCCCATTTGCACGAAGGTATTCCAGTATAGAATATCCGTTGAGCTCCCTTGATCGACTAGAGTCTTCTTCACAATGCAATTGTGCACTTCAACAGAAATCACCATGGGATCGTCCTGGATGGGGTTGACACCGCAGAAATCTCGATAAGAAGATTTTATTGGTGGCATTTTGGGTGTCTTCGGGTGATCCACAATGTTTACCGACCGCACGGCCCGAAGGTTTCTTTTCCGCACCAAAGAGGTGGATCCTCCTTCGGCGAAGCCTCCAGCTATAGTGTTTATCACCTTTCTCGGTTGGTCGTTATCTTCCCGAGAGTGCCTTGAATGGTCCCTCTGCTCGGCTGAGCGGGATCGACCTCGACGGTCCCTCGCATGTCGTGCTTCGCGAGGGTGGTAGGACCTCTCCTTTGCTACTTGGCGGTGATCTGCAGTTGGAGTGTGATCTCGGAATGTTACAAAACTCCTCATGTGACCTTGCTTAATGAGTTCCTCCAACTTGTCTCTAAGTGCTGAGCACTCCTCGGTTGAGTGCCCCCTATTACGGTGGTATCGGCATGTCTTTGCTTTGTCTGCTCTAGGATGAGTGTTTGCCTGTTTCGGCATAGTGAGGATCTCGGAGGTTAGAGCCTGCTCCAATACTTTGGCCCTACTCGCATTGAAGGGCGTATATGCTGTGTAATGTGGTCCTCTCGGGGGACGAGTATTCAGCTGCTCGGTATTCACCTTTTTCATTGGCTCTCAGCCGTGGTCTCTTCAACTATAACCTTCATCAGCTCTGGCCTGATTTCTAGTCTCGGCCAATTCCTCCATTTGCATGTATTTTTCAGCTCGACGATGTAGATCATTCATATCTTCAAGCGGTTTCTTGCATAGGCTGTTCACAAATGGTCCCAGTCTTAGTGCGGTTCTTAGTCGATCCATCGCCACGACTGGGTTGAGGTCGTCGATCTCCATGGTGATTTTGTTGAATCGGTTCGTGAAGCTTCTAAGATTTTCTTTCTTCTCTTGCCGGATCCCCGCCAATGCTAAGGAGGTCGTCTTGTACAGTTTTCTTGTTGCACATTGCAGGGTGAATTGAGATGCCAATTCACTAAATGAGTTAATAGAAGAGCTAGGCAGGCGTGTGAACCAGCTCAACGCCCTTCCTTTCAGTGAAGTGGGGAATATTCGGCATAACGTGGCATCATCTTGAGTTGAGAGGGTGACTTGTGTTAGGAAAACATTCAAGTGTTCCTCGGGGTCGGCTGACCCATCGTATTTCTCGATGGGAAAGCTCTTCCAGTGATCAAGTAAGGTGGATTCCATTATCCTCTGGGAGAATGGGTGTCTGAAGGAGTTAGTCGCAGTGTCGGCTTTGCCGCTTACTAAAGACGTAGCTGGTGTCCGAGAAACCTGATCGATTGGAGCATGATAGGCCAATTCTTCCAGATGCATAGGAGTGGATGGGATCCAGGTTCTATTTAAGCTACGAAGCTCGGCGTTTTGGCGATGGAGCTCGGCCAATTCCTTAGCGTCGGCTTCTCTCTACCTACGTATAGCAGCCATCTCTTCGCGCAATAAGCGCAAGTCATCATTGAGTTTAGGCTGGTCCTCGGTGTTTGGTCGGCCCTCTTGTGCTGTTGGCTCCTGGTGCGCCTGAGGCATTCTGTAAGGGTATCGTTCTTGTCTAGTCACGCCGAGATTGTGTTCAAAATTCGGGGGTGGTTGGGTCGAGGTTAAAGGTCCTTTACGTGTAGCTACCATGTCTTCGTTTCAATCAGTGGAGTTTGAAGGGGCTGAAAGAGTCTCTTCGACCCCACGGTGGGCGCCAAATGTTCCTGTATTAGGAGACACACCTTGCTTATCCAAGTTGTCGCAATCTTGGCCCTAGGTCTAGGTCTTCTCGTTCCACTCTAGGTAGTCCGAGGAGGGGGAGGTGCCTGCAAAAGACACTCTGATGCTTAAGTAAGTGATCGGCGTATTAAATGCGGTAGTTAAAGTTGGTTATGTACCTTATTAAGGGTCTATTTATAGCAGTTATTGTTGGGCCGTGATTAGGGAATGGGCCCCGGGAAATTAGGGGGTTAAATCAGTGTATTAAGTAAATTAATCTCGCCTTAATTCACCTAGCTTAACTCCGTATCCTCGAGTATGCGAATCCTGCTGACCGAGTCGGCCGACCCCAATTTTACCGAGCCGACCGGATCGGCCATGCTAGGTATATTCGGTCGGGTCGGCCGAACTAGATGTGGTCGACCTGGTCGGTTATCCTTCGGTATATAATTAAATACAAAAACAGGAAAAGAAGTATAAATTACATTTTTTATATTGTATCTCAAATAATTCACTTTATTCGTTGTGACAATAAGACAAATATTTATTGTTTGTCATCTAAGAAATTGATGGGTGAGGGGTGCATTATGCAAAACTTTTTCATCTACTATCATCTTTATTTTTTTTAAAATTACTTTTATGTGCTTTCACTTTCTTACTTTGATGTATTTTTTATTTATCTGTCTTGTACTACAATATGGACCATGTATTAGAAACATGTTACTGAGTACTGATACAAGAAACACAACAACAGAAATAAAATTTTTATTTGACTAAAGCGAAATTGATTGCATAGATAAAAATATTTTTATATTTGATGAAAGACCAAATTTTCAAATACTGCAATCGAAATTAATTAGTTTCTTATTCATCCATTGTAAAATACTTGAGAGAAAAAGGTATTCATTATTTTCTTATATATGCAATTAAAATATCATGTTTTCCACAAAATATATATATATATATATATATATATATATATATATATATATTGAAAGATTATGGAACATATATAGTATCGAAAATGTTAGCAGAAGTCTAAGGAGAATGAGAAGAATTTCCATTACTATAATGAAGAATGAATCCTATATTCTTTCTTGATTAATCATTAATGAGATTCAAAGTTAAGTACAATCAATATGCAATACTTTGATTCAGTTTAAATCAATATTGCTCATGCAAACATGTTAATCAAAAATGATCTCTTTAACATACAACCAAGATATTACACAAAGTAAAAGATAAGGGTAAGAGAAGATTGCACAAGTCTTTTATCCTGGTTCAGCCACTCCACATGTGACCTACATCCAGTCCTCAATCATAACCTGATCAAGATTTGTTCCACTATCTTAATGAAGAATTTTTACAAGCATACCACACATGCATA